CCATCGTGTCGGAATGGCATGCCCTGAGCCCCTCCTGGGAAGGGGCAGAGGCCTGAATCAGTTACAGATGTAACTGCTGTGTCTCTAGGAACTAGTAGGGGTTGGGTTAGGGAGCGAAGATGGCATCGTGCAAGGTGGGTTGCTGGTAGGAAGAGCCGGCTACCAAGATTTGTCTGGTGCCTCAGTCAGTATACTCATATTTTAAACGAACAGATCCAGAGACAATGGCCCCGATGGAATGGAGCCTGAAGGCGTCATCGAGGTGAGAACAGCCCTATCACCATTATCCTTCGTTTCGGGGAGCGGTAGTGTCCCCTGGTTTCTGGACCATACCCCGGGATTCATCTTTAATGCATAGCCTAACTCTGAGTAGTTAAGCTCTTCTCACTGGGAGTCTTAATTTTTATATATAATTTGTTTAAAATATTTGTGTCCCTGAGAATATGTGTGAAATGTCATTCAAGTTGGTCCTGTTATCCCTTCTACAAGCACCAGCCTCACAGTTTTCAAGTGGACTGGTCCCTAGAGTGATTTCCTAGGCAGTGTAAAACCATCTGCCTTCCCTGGAGGGGGTGGTAGGAGGTTGTTGACTCTGAAGCTTTGAGGGCACAAGGTCCTATTTGCCCCAGTGTAGAGCCCTGTTTATACTACTTTAATCCCTTTCCATCCTACAGAGTAACTGGAATGAGATCGTTGACAGCTTTGATGACATGAACCTCTCAGAGTCCCTCCTCCGTGGCATCTACGCCTATGGTTTTGAGAAGCCCTCTGCCATCCAGCAGCGAGCCATTCTTCCTTGTATCAAGGGTAAGATCTCTGCTCCAGAACGTATTCTGAACTGTCCCTGGGTCGAGTTGCACGTGTTTGGTAGTGCTTGTCTCATTAGCCAGGGACTAAATAACTCCTTTATTTACACTAGGTTGGCTTTTGGTCTGTGCTTTAAGAGGGGTAGTATTTTAGCCAGCTCATAACTTTCTCTTTGCAGCTATATTTCTAGCCTATTTCAAATGCAGTACTAAATGAGTTAACCAGATCTGTTCCCATTAGAGTACTGGTTGTGGTAGAATAAAGTCTGAAGTGCTTTGTGCTTGGCACATAGCTCTCTTCGGTGCTTACTGATAGTGTTTTGCAAGGCCTTGAATGTCTCATGATCCCAGAGTGTATGCTCTCTACCATAGCGAGTTTTTCTCCTGATTTTAGGTTATGATGTGATCGCTCAAGCCCAATCTGGGACAGGAAAAACAGCCACTTTTGCCATATCGATTCTGCAACAGATTGAATTGGATCTAAAGGCCACTCAGGCCTTGGTCCTGGCACCTACTAGAGAATTGGCACAGCAGGTGAGCGTGTAGTTTATTTCTCCTCCCCTGAAAGACTGATTTAGAAATAATTAGCACAATCCAAAAATCTTGAGTATGCTCCCCAACCACTACCACTACCACAACCACCTTGGAAGAAGTGAGGTATCTACCCAAACCCAATAAACATCATTTCCTCCTCCCATTTCCTGAGTCAAATGGGAAGGCTCCTGGGTGGAGCCTAGCTGGCTGAGCAAGTCTGGCAGCTGTTTTATGCACAAACCCCCTGGCAATGGGCAAGGAGACACCTGATTGGTGGTGTTGCTCTTATATCAGTCAGGGGCAAAGCAGATGTACAGTCCTTAGTTCATCCTAGCTTGATGCCTGTGTCGGTGGCCAGAGCTGTTTCATGCCTGAGGCACATAAAATGATAATTGCTAAGTCTTGGAGGAGAAAAGATCAGAAACACTGGTCTCATAAGTAAATTACTAATATTAACAGGCTTAGGGGTATAATTTTAAAGTTTGTGGAGCTGTGATTGCTCTAGTAACTTGTAGATTAACAGTAAGCAGGTAGTTCTAGCACAACTCCATTAAGAGTGAACATGCCACCTAACAGTTCTAGTGGCGTGGATATATGTTATTCTGCACATAAAACTGGGTGCTATGAGAATAAGTGGGTCACTGTTTGCTTTCAGAAAATTGGGTGGGGATCTAGTATGGTAATGTTGGAATTATTTCAGAGGGCAGTTACTGTGAATCGTGTATTCTCAGGAGCCAGAATGTTCAAATCCTGAGTCTCTGCCATTTAACTGTCAGTGTGATCTTAGATGCATTTAACCTGCCTGTTTCTCGCCTGAAAAGTGAGTTTTAATAATAGTGCGTATAAGTTGGAAAAAAATAAAACATGAGAAGCACTTAAAATGGAGCCTGGCACAGTTGTAGCTAATAATAATATATGAGCACCTGTCTTTTTCTGGGTTCAGATACAGAAGGTAGTCATGGCTTTAGGAGATTACATGGGTGCCTCCTGCCATGCCTGCATTGGTGGTACCAACGTGCGTGCAGAGGTGCAGAAGCTGCAGATGGAAGCTCCCCATATCATCGTGGGCACCCCAGGACGTGTGTTTGACATGCTTAATCGCAGATACCTGTGTGAGTATCTTAATTTTCTGGTCCTCTAGGTCACTTGCCTCTTCTGCATTCTTTCCCAGTCTTTCCACTGGCCACAGTCTTGTTGCCAGTATAGCTCGTTTTCCCCTGAAAGAGTTGCTCTATGATGAACCCCATGCGTGTCATCTGAGCCTGGCTTCCCTGTCTCAGCCCAGGTAGTGTTCTACTTCCCAGGGCTATTGTCTGGCCTGGCAAGGGGGGTCCCTGGCAAAGGATAAGAATTTGAATTCTGAGAGCAGACCACCTATCCATTTCTGGTTCTTCATTGGGAGAGTTAAGCATATATCGCGTTTTCCTCATTACCACTTGTCTTTCCCTCCCTCCCCCCATTCTGTAGCTCCCAAATACATCAAGATGTTTGTACTGGATGAAGCTGATGAAATGTTAAGCCGTGGGTTCAAGGACCAGATCTATGACATATTCCAAAAGCTCAACAGCAACACCCAGGTGAGAGACATTTAGTCTTGCCTTTATGGCTGATCCTTCATAGATTGGCACCTTGAGACTAGAATTCTCTGGCACCTCATTCTTGTTCTACCACCCCAACCCCAGAGAATTCTAGTCTCAAGCCTTTTTATGCACTAGCTTGTTTTAGGTGGCATGGAGTAGCTCCTATCCTAGACTTGCTATTTTTTCCCCCTTAGGTAGTATTGCTGTCGGCTACAATGCCTTCCGATGTGCTTGAGGTGACCAAGAAGTTCATGAGGGACCCCATTCGGATTCTTGTCAAGAAGGAAGAGTTGACTCTGGAGGGTATCCGTCAATTCTACATCAATGTGGAAAGAGAGGTGGGGCCCAGTGCAGGAGGCGGACCTGGTAGTAAGTTGTTGGGTATAGCCCCCTGACTGATTTTTCTTCCCCGACTTCACCCCCAGGAGTGGAAGCTGGACACATTGTGTGACTTATATGAAACCCTCACCATCACCCAGGCAGTCATCTTCATCAACACGCGAAGAAAGGTTGACTGGCTCACTGAGAAGATGCACGCCCGAGACTTCACCGTCTCTGCCATGGTGAGATTGCCCCTCTTACCGACCAGCCGTGTGTATGGGTCAGTAGCCCACTTAAGCCAGTTTGCAGAACCAATATGCCTACCCTCCTCTTTCCCATCCTAGCATGGCGATATGGACCAAAAGGAACGAGATGTAATCATGAGGGAGTTCCGCTCTGGCTCTAGTAGAGTATTGATTACCACTGACCTGCTGGTAAGTAAGGGGGGCATTTAGACAAAACAGAAGGGAGAAACCAAGGTGATTCCCTCTCCAAGGGGACTAACAGTGCCCCTCTTCAGGAAAGTAGCAACTTGGAATAGAATCTGGCATGCCTCAGGTTTTCAGGGGAGGTGCTGCATCATTTCCTTGGCCTTCCTTTGGCTGCCTACATGTATACTAAAGTCCCAAGTTCCTTCTGGGTGGCTTATGCCCTCTTCTCACGCACGTGCTGAAGCTGTCTTATTTCCTCGCCATAGGCCAGAGGCATTGATGTGCAGCAGGTTTCTTTAGTCATCAACTATGACCTTCCCACCAACAGGGAAAACTATATTCACAGGTGAGTGTTTGCCCAGCCCCTCATGCCCAGTCCTCGCTGGGCTGAAGCTTGTTTTCTCTTTACTGTGTCCCCGTGTATCCTAAGGTGTCCTTCTTTTCCAGAATCGGTCGGGGTGGACGTTTTGGCCGTAAGGGTGTGGCTATTAATATGGTGACAGAGGAAGACAAGAGGACTCTTCGAGACATTGAGACCTTCTACAACACCTCCATCGAGGAGATGCCCCTCAATGTTGCTGACCTCATCTGAGAGGGGCTGGCCTGCTGCCTCATCCCAGCCAGGGTTCTCAGTCCTTGGCAGGCTGAGGAGGAGCAGGAGGGGGGAGGGAAGGGAGCCAAGGGATGGACATCTTGTCAATTTTTTTTCTTTTTTCTTTTTTTCCCTTTGAATAAATGTCACTTTTTGAGGCAAAGAAGGAACCGTGAACAATTTAGATACCCTTTTCTTTGGGGTAGGCTCATGCCCCAGGCGCCGTCTCTTCTCCCAAAAACACTAATCCACTTCCCTAACCTAGTCAACCTCCAAACCCGAGACTCCCTGCTCCAGCCAAATTCCTCTGAAAATGATTCTTCAAGGGGGCTATGTCACTCAACCTCATTTACTGGACCAAATCTGGAGGGAGAACCCTTGAGTTAGGTGGCCCAGGGGATTGTCCCCATGTGGGGGGAGCAGGGGAGAAAAAATAGTAGCCATTTTTACATTGTTTTGTATAGTATTTATTGATTCAGGAAACAAAATTCTGAATAAAATTACTTGGAAACTGCCTGTTTGGGCTTCTCATTTCTTCCCCTTCCCACCTGCTATGGGGTATATATCCCCTTCCCCAAGCTGACATTTTACCCCAGTGGTTCTCAACCTTCTGGCCCTTTAAATACAGTTCCTCATGTTGTGACCCAACCATAAAATTATTTTTGTTGCTACTTCATAACTGTAATGTTGCTACTGTTATGAATCGTAATGTAAATATCTGATATGCAGGATGGTCTTAGGCGACCCCTGTGAAAGGGTCGTTCGACCACCAAAGGGGTCGCGACCCACAGGTTGAACTGCTGTTTTACCCTTCTGTGATAAGTCATTTAACAGTGTGACCTTCTGTAGGGTTGGGCAATCCCCATCACAAGTGCCTCACATGTCTCAGTCAAGAGGAAGTGATGGAGGGAGGGGGAAATGGGACTGGTAACTTGATTTTTACATTGTTTTCTGGGAAACATTTTCTTTGGAAATCAGAGAGGGGCTGCACTTCAACTGGTTCCATAATCATTTGCCAGAACTGTTGGGTTTTGTGGAGGTAGACAAATGGGTCCCCAAGGATCAACACTCTCCCCACATGATGGTCTTGATTCTGACGACTCCCAATTCGGTGAAGCCAGGGCCAATCATATAGTGACAAAAACTTAATGACTAAGTGGTTGGGGCTGAGGTGCCTGAGTCAGGTTGTGGGGCAGGGCTATCTTAGTTACAGGAAGTTAAGACTTTCATTTCCTCCTTTTCCAAAAGGAGGCAGGGAATAGGGTAGACTTGGGTGAGCAGCTGATACTGACACTACGAAGAACTCGGGCTGTTCCGCCATGAAGTTTGCTGTGCTTTTCCTGGGGGCCGTGCTGGGACTACTAGCAGGTAAGGACAAAGGGGGCTAAAGGAGAGAAAGCCCCCCCCCCCCGCCCCCCAGGAAGGAGCCTGTCCCTGGGTTGCTAACTAGTCTTTCTTCCGCTGAAAGCCCAGGGGACGGGAAATGACTGTCCTCATAAGAAATCTGCCACTCTGGTACCATCCTTCACGGTGACACCTACAGCTACAGAAAGCACAACAAGCCCTGGAACAACCAGCCACAGAACCACCAGGAGCCACAGAACCACCAGGAGCCACAGAACCACCACCACAAGCACCAGCCATGGACCCACAACAGCCACTCACAATCCTGTCAGCACGACGAGCCACGGAAATACCACAGTTCATCCAACGAGCAACAGCACTGCCACCAGCCCAACGAGCAACAGCACTGCCACCAGCCCAACGAGCAACAGCACTGCCACCAGCCCAACGAGCAACAGCACTGCCACCAGCCCAGGATCCTTCACCAGCTCACCCCACCCAGGACCACCTACACCCTCTCCAAGTCCTAGCCCAGGCTCCAAGGCAGCTGTAGGAGACTACATTTGGACTAATGGTTCCCTGCCCTGTGTCCATCTCCAAGCCCAGATTCAAATTCGAATTCTGTACCCAACCCAAGGTGGAAGAGAGGTAAAGCTAAAAGGGGTCGGGGGGATATGACTGGTTCAGAAGGGAAGAAGGAAGAGTGGAGAAGGGGACCAACACAAGGTGGGGTTGAAAAAAAAGGTATTTTATTTTTTATAATTAAAAAAAATTTTTTAATTGATTTTAGAGAAGAAGGGAGAGGGAGACAAAAACATCAATAATGAAAATCACTGGGGCCGGTGGGTGACGCCGGGAGAGCGCATGGGCAAACTGTACGTCCATTTGTCCGGAGTGGAGGGTTAAATTGCTTTTACAGAATTAACAGGTCTCCAAGAAATAATAAAAAGCATAATATCTTCTAGATCTATCCAAGTTGTCACAAATGGCTTTAGAAAAAAAGACCAAAAGCACTAAGGAGAAAAGGGCCAAAGAAGCAATGCAGCTCTAATTGGACAACTTCTGACAAGTTAACCTGTGTCTTGAAACCTAAATAAATATAAGTGAAAGTGGGGGGAAAAAATAATAATAATGAAAATCACTGATCGGCTGCCTCCTGCATGCCCCCAACTGGAGATGGAGCCTGCAACCCAGGCATGTGCCCTTGACCAGAATCGAACCTGGGACTCTCTAGTCTGCAGGCCAACACTCTATCCACTGAGCCAAACCAGCCAGGGGGAAAGAAATGGTATTTTAGATGGCACAGCTGTGTAGCCTTATGACTTTCTTTTCTTTAACTTCCACAGGCCTGGGGCATCTCTGTACTGAACCCTAACAAAACCACGCCCCAGAGAGGCTGTGAGGGTGCCCATCCCCACTTGCTTCTCTCATTCCCCTATGGACAGCTCAGCTTTGGATTCAAGCAGGTACCTCACCCCTCATCCCTCACTCTCCAAGTGCCCTTTCCCTATTAATCGCTTGCCGCATCCCTCCTCTGTGGACATGAACACCACTCTCCCCCATTACCCTGAGCTTTCCTGGTCACCTCTGCAGGAACCACTGCAGGGCACTGTGTACCTGAACTACGTGGCTGTGGAGTACAATGTGTCCTTCCCGCAAGCAACACGTGAGTTAACCTTCCCGTTCTCGTCACTTGCACTAGATGTCTGGACTCCTGAGGGGACCTAAGCTGGGGGATGGGGATGTGGATATAGAGCTGATCCTTCCTCACTCTCTTAGAATGGACATTCTCGGTTCAAAATTCATCCCTTCGAGAACTCCAAGCCCCGTTGGGCCAGAGCTTCAGTTGCAGAAATGCAAGCATCATTCTTTCACCAGCTTTCCACCTCGACCTGCTCTTCCTGAAGCTACAAGCTGCTCGCCTACCCCCTACAGGGGCCTTTGGGCCAAGTAAGACTTACTTCTTCCCTCCTCAAACTCTCCCACCGCATTAAAGCCCTATTCCAGGAGACTCCCTCCCTTCCTCTACATTACCCATTTACTGCTGTCATCTAGGCGAGTTTCTCACCAATTGCCTACTTCCTAACATCCCCATGTTCCTTCTTCCCACCTTTATCCCACCACCATCATTGTGATACTTGCCTTGTCTTTCTGCCAGGTTTTTCTTGTCCCAGTGACCAATCCATATTGCTGCCCCTTATCATCGGCCTGATCGCCCTCGGCCTCCTCACCTTGGTGCTTGTTATCTTTTGCATCTCCCGGAGACGTGCACCCGCCTACCAGCCCCTCTGAGCCTTTGTCCCAACGCCCAGGGCACCACTCAACTGACTCAGAGACAAAGTTATCTTCCTTCCCTCTCTGTCTTGAAGAAGAAAATCAAAGATAATGCCACTGGGAGAACCGAAGGGAGGTGTTTATTAAATAAGACATTCTCCCTCTCCCTCCCCCAATGGGAGAATAGTAAAGCCTACTTAAATCTTTGTCTTTGGTTTTCCTTGTCCTTCCTGCCAGGATTAAAAGCCGTGAGTTTCTTGCCATAATGCTTTCTACGCCTTACATGGCTGAGTCTAAGGGAGCTGGTGAGGAGGGGTGAAAATGTCAACGTGCAGCCAACTGTCCTCATGGGTTCATCCCCCAAAGCCTGGTGCAACTGGTGTTGAATCTGCTCACCTCCTTCCTCATTGTGGGCCCTTGGCCCCAGCTCCTCTCCAATCCAGTAGTCACCCATCCTGGAGGCCTTCCTGACCCTTACATGCAATTACAGGTGAAGCAGGCAGCGATAGCAGTGAGTGTGGGTGGGAAGGTCACACCTGTGTCATTTTGTTTCCAAAGGATGTGCTAGTGGCTCCTTAGCAACAAGAATGCCTGCCCCGCCCACCTTGTTGATGAAACCCTTCCTGCACCGAGGATGCTAGCAAAGGGTTTCATCAACAACGGGAGCAGTGGGTGCATAGCCTCCACATACAATTAACCTCTGTGCTCCTGGGAACAACATCCCTCCAGCGGGGGCCACCCAGGGAGCCAACCCTGATGTTCCAAGTGATGGTGTACTTGGTGGTGGTGGGTGGCAGCCCCGGGGCAGCCAGAGTCTACGAAAGGGCCTGCCAGACAGCCTCTCCCTTCACAGTGCAATTGCTGGGGGCCAGAATAGGGCGCTCACGCTACAGAAAGTAGCCCCTGGGACCTAGAGACCCACCCCATTGTGGGCAGCCCCCATGTGGCAGCGTCCCAACAGCCCCACCATGGCCTCACAGACATCCCCTACCACCGTGCAGACTGTGGCCTGAGAGTCACTGAAGGGGCTGCGAGGAAGTGTGGTTGGTGCTAGCAGCCGAGCATGAAGGCCGGTCCCACCACCGGGATGGCCCAGAGCAGTGGTTCTCAACCTTGGCTGCACATTCGAATCACCTGGGAATCTTTTTAACATCCTGGTTTCTGGGCCTCATCCTCCAGAAATTCTGTTTCTTTGTTATGGGGCGGGGCCACAACATTAGTAACAAAGAAACAATTTCCGGAGGATGGGGCCCAGAAATCAGGATGTTAAAAAGATTCCCAGGTGATTCGAACGTGCAGCCAAGGTTGAGAACCACCGGCCAAGAGTTAGTGTCCCAATGCTGGGTGGCCGAGGGCATCACCCCGCCAGGTAGTCCGAGGTGCCGTTTCCCCAACAGGAGCTGCTGGGCGGTCAGCCTGGCTTCAGCCCTTGCTCGGGATGTGGTCACAAAAGGCCAGCGCGGTGGAGGGGAACTCACAGGGCCCCGCCGGGGCTTCAGGGAGCCTGCCAGGGCTGGGCTCCGCAGGGGGCAGGGTGCCGTTCCCTGAACATGGTCTCGTCTTCCCCGCCTCCGCCTCCCGCTTCCCTGTCCCGGGCCAGCAGCGGCTGGCGCACCCATTCGCCCAGGCCCGGGTTCACAAGGGGGGAGAAGCTCCCGCCAGTGCCGTTCCCACTGGAGACGCCGGGAGAACTAAAGTGAGAGAAGGCACAGCGCCCCCATCCAACGCCATTTTGGAGACACGGCTCCTCTCTTCAATTTTGAACAGTCGAGTCAGCAGAGAGGAGAAGATGGCGCCGAGCGGGAGAAGCGGTGAAAAGCAGGACGATAAATCCTGCTTCCAGACTGGAAGGGTAAACAACGGTGCGAAACAAGGAAGTGCGCAGGCGTACAGCTTTCGCTGCTTTAAAACTCAAACAGCAGGGAGGGTGGGCCCACACCGTGGTCGCGGGACGAGACCTATTTAACGCTGAGAAGGAGCGGAGCGGCGGGGCGGCTCGGTCGCGGGAGGCGGGAGTCCACGGCGCGCATGCGCACCGCAGGTCACTGAGGCTCCGAAGGAACTGGCGGAAACGACCTTTACAAGATGGCGGCCGAGGCGGACGGGCTGCTCAAACGGGTGCTGGTGCCGATTCTTTTACCTGAGAAATGCTACGACCAATTTTTCGTCCAGTGGGATTTGCTTCACGGTGAGTCTTGTTCGGCATCTGGTCAGAGTCCTGCTGGAGCGCCAAAGTGGGGCGTGACTGCGGATAAGTGATGGCGGTGACCACTGCATGGCTCGCTGGGCGGAAATTACTGCAGAGAGGGGCGGAAGTGTCTCGGACTCCGTACAGAGAGTGCGCCATTTTGGGGTGGGAGAACGGGGGGCCGGGGGGGGGGTGTCCGCCGGGTGGAAGTAATTCTCTGTGAAGTTTATGCTTTAGAAAACGGAAAGCCAAACGACTCAAATTTTATAAAACAAAGTTAAAATATAACCCAATAGTTCCCACCTTTAAGAGGTCGCTATACCTTCAGGAGCAAGGCCAAATTTGATCGTAGGCCTCATGAATCCAGGCCGTCAGCCGCACCCCCAAAGGTTTCTGCCGCCCTGACGATGCTTTCCCTCCGGCCTCCACGTTTGTTCGCGGTCTGATGTCGGAATCACTTGACTTCCTTCCACTTTCGACGGCAGTCCCACCGCGAGGCCCCTCTGAGACCCAGACGCGCTGGGAAGCTTTCCCAGCATGCCCCTCGGGTCGCGGCACCCACGGTGCTGCTGAAACACTTCGTTTTAGCTGCTTTCATGACCCGTGAGGATCTTGCCACCCACTGGGCCGAGCTCCTTGAGGAGAACACTTCCAGCTGGAGAAGACGTGGGCGCCCTGGGAGGGCAGGGCCGGGGACAGCGGGTCCGGAATGAGTGGCAAAGACGAGGCCCAAGCGGATCGGATCGCCAGGTGCCTCTGAGGGGGAATAAGGGAGCAGAGAACCCTCGGGCATCGTGCAGCTTGATACAGGGAGAGCTTTGGAAGTAAGACCACGGAGTGTATTTAATTCTCACCTGAGGACATGCTTAGAGAGAGGACGGAAGAGAGAGAAACATCGGTCAGTTGCCTTCACTATGCTCCCCGACTGGGGACCAAACCCGAAACCCAGGCATGGGCCCTGGCCCGGAATCAAATCGGCACCAACACTCAACCAACGGAGCCACGCATGGCTGGCAGGACCAAGGAGCACAGATGTCATCTTCAGGGAGTGGAAAATGGGGTTGGAGAGAAGGAATGGTGAAAGCTGTTTTGGAGAAGTTACCTCATCTGAGCATGACATAATCTGGCGCAGGAAGGGCCAGGCCTTGTCCGCCTGCCTCCGGACACCCGGCTTCCTTGTGTGGGTGCGTGCCAGTCTTAGGGAGCAGTGGCAGCCACAGGAGGGCTAGGGCTGTAAGTCTGTAGGCCTGGACCGTCGCCGGAAAGCCCTGGCCTGGGTTCCTGAGACCCCTCTCTGCTTCTCCCTTTTTCTCTCCTCAGTCCCCTGCCTGAAGATTCTCCTCAGCAAAGGCCTGGGGCTGGGCATTGTAGCTGGGTCGCTGCTGGGTATGTATTTCATCTTCCTTTTCCTGCTGTTGGGGGGATGGGGATTGAGTACGAAAATGCCATGGACGGGATGGGTCCCTTAATCAGAAGTGGGGTAACATGCTTCTCAGTAGCTGTTTTGTTGTGCTTCCAAGGAATAGCAGCTCTTCAACCCTACCCTTCTCATCCTTTCCCAGTGAAACTGCCTCAGGTGTTTAAAATCCTCGGAGCCAAGAGTGCGGAAGGGCTGAGCCTGCAGTCAGTCATGCTGGAACTGGTGGCATTGACTGGGACCATGGTCTACAGCATTGTCAACCACTTCCCCTTCAGGTGAGGGGTTTGCCCTTTGTCCCGAAGGGTAAATACCCACAACTCTAGTGGGGTCGGGTGAGGGAGGTGAAGGGCAGGAAAGGCTTAAGCCCTTTTGGAAACAGTCACCACCTATGGAGCTGATGAGGAGGTGAGCATCCCGTGAGTGCTCAGGATTCAGAGTGAGTCCATCAGAGGTGGAGGTAGTGGTGCTGGGAGGCAGGAGGTAGGAACCAGTAGGGCTGTGGAGGACAGGGAGTAACCAGATAATTGTGTCTCCAGATGGACGGGCTATGGAGGCTTTTCCTGCCTCTTTCCAGGCCCGCCTTTCTTCCTTCCAACTCTTGACTCTGCAGCTCTTGGGGTGAAGCACTATTCCTGATGCTCCAGACAGTCACCATCTGCTTCCTGGTCCTGCACTACAGAGGACAAACTGTGAAAGGTGCTGGGATTTACCCAAGAGCAGGCTGTGGCTCTTGAGAGCCCTGGCGGGTGGAACTCCACGTGGGGAAGCCAGAGGACTCCTGAGGTTGATGAGGACTCCTTGTCTCTGACTCCTAGGTGTGGCTTTCCTAGTGTGTTATGCCCTGGTCCTGCTGATGCTGCTTTCACCACTGATGCCCCTGGCCGTGATCACCATACTCCAGGCCTCCAATATGCCTTCTGTGGTGGTGGGGAAGGTGGGTACTGGGAGCAAGGAAAGGAATATTGGGAGGAGGGACTCGGTGAGGAGCAGAGTGGAAGCTGTATATGGGAATATTAGACTGAGGAGAATGGGGGGAATCTGATGGGAACATGGGAAGAATTCAGATGATAGAACAAAGGGTCTCAACTCCTGTTCTAGCTGCTCCAAGCAGCCACCAACTACCGCAATGGGCACACGGGCCAGCTCTCAGCCATCACAGTCCTTTTGCTCTTTGGAGGCTCCCTGGCCCGAATCTTCACCTCCATTCAGGTGAGTTCACCTGCTCCCCTCTAGGGGGCACTAAAACATCTTACCTCCCACCTGAGGACTTAAAGCTGTCTGGTCTCTGGAACCTTTTGGGGGGGTGGGGGTGGGGGGGCGTTTAAAAGTGACCCTAGTTCTGTTTCTTGCATTTAGGAAACTGGAGATCCCCTCATGGCTGGAACCTTTGTGGTCTCTTCCCTCTGTAACGGCCTTATTGCTGCCCAGCTTCTCTTCTACTGGAATGTAAAGGCTCCTCACAAGAAGAAAAAAGAGTAGTAGGGCTGATCCAGCTACTAGAGTCCATTCCATGTTTCTATTCATCCACCTAATCTCAGGGTCCTTCTGAGCCAGCCTGCTGGTGTGACTTTTAATCATTCCCCATTTCTCTGCAGGTGCAACTTTTTGAGCCAGCATTTGTGTTTCGTGGAAAGGCATAGATCAGGGGTCTTCAAACTACGGCCCGCGGGCCACATGCAAATACAAATATTGTATTTGTTCCCGTTTTGTTTTTTTACTTCAAAATAAGATGTGTGCAGTGTGCATAGGAATTTGTTCATAGTTTTTTTTTTAAACTATAGTCCGGCCCTCCAACGGTCAGAGGGATAGTGAACTGGCCCCCTGTTTAAAAAGTTTGAGGACCCCCGGCATAGATGGTAGACCCAATCCTTAGAAAGGAAATGGGTAGAGATTTTCAGGCTGACATGATACTGATTGTGCACTGTCCTGTGTATGCACTATTAACTAATTGAACCATTTGCTGAACTTCTTTTAGCAATTTCTAGCTACTTACCTCTCCTGGGCAAAAGTCTTGCCTGCCCTCCCATCTCCCCACTTTCCTTTTGGCTTTAAGAGGACAAAGCCTGGACAGTGCAGGGGACTAGGGGCTTATGGCTGCCTCCCTCCCCCAGCCTGTCTGGGACTGTCTCCTGGACCCCAGTGCTGGGTGGGAGGCAGGGGAAGGGGGATGGAGAATGACTCAGTCAGGGCCCCAGGGTGGGGTGAGGAGGTTCCTGCTCTGGCAGGTCCAGGCAAAAGGGAGTGGAGATGATGCTGGTTCCTGTTGTAGTGAGGGGGAACAGAGATGGGGCAATAAAGACGCAGAGACATGGCTTAATTGTACAAAACCGTGTTTGTCCTACAAAAAATATAAAAAGTTATGTTGCTCCCTCTGGATGGGGGGAGGGGGAGAGGGCTGGACTGCAGGCCTCCTCTAAACTGTGGTCCAACAGTGCAAAAGGAGGGTTTGCTGTTTGGAAGTAAGGGGATAGTTCTGGGTGAAAAAGAGGTTGGAGCCCTTCCTGGGAGGTCTATACCCACGATTATTAGAGGTGGGCCAGGGGCATGGGGGCCCCTGAGAGGGGAGGGTTGTAGGGAGTAGGAGAGCCTGGGGGTGGATAGGGATTGTAGTGGGGGAGCAGTTCCCCCTGGAGCCTAGGGTTACTCTGATGGAGGGAGCACGTTGAGGCCTCTGGTTTAGAGTGGGAAGAGCTGCAAAGAGAGAAATACGGGTTAGAAGGCACTTTCCTAGGTTGGTGATGCCAGGCAGGGTCCCCAGTGTGCATGTGAGGGCAGGTCTGACCGGTTCTGGGTAGACTAATAGAACCTAGCCATCCCTGGCTATTTGGGCCCATTAGGTACTGCAGGTCCAGAACCAGATCCAAGGCTAGCTTAGAGAGCAGGGCAGCCTTGTTGGGGCAGGCTCACCAGCGAGCTTGCGTGCTGTGCGCCTGTTTTCCTCTTTCGGGGCAGCAGGCCAGAAAGGGGCAGAATTGGGATTAGCCTCTCCTTGCCCTGGGGGCTGAGAGGAAGTCAGGTCACACCAGGGCCAGAAGCCGGTGGGGGGGGGGGGGGGGAGGAGGGCAATGGCAGGAAATCCAGATGGGTAAGTGGAACAAGGTCAACATCTAGGGGCCTGTAGTCTGCCCCCTCCCAGGGCCACCACTGCCAGGTTGGTGGGAAAGCCCTCCAGGAAAACCCTGGGCCACCAGAACCCTCCCAAAAGAGCTGGGAGTGCTGGTAATGGTGCTGCCCAAATCGTCAGGGCAGTCCCTAAACCCCAAAGGGGTGACCTCAGCTTTGTTGGGTTCAGGCCCCTTGTCAGCCAGGCCCTCTGGTATGCGTCCCATCTAGGCTCAGGGAGGGAGGACTCGGCATCTCCTTCCTCACCCCCGCTCCCAGCCACTTACCTGAAACCACGAGGCAAGTAGGATGTCGAGTAGTTGGGGGGCTGGTACCCAAAGCCTCTGCTCCCCTGGGTGGTCACGTATCCTGGTCCCCAGACCGGCCCGCTGACAGCCACACAGCCGCTTCCCTGGCCGAAATGGGGCAGCCCAGCTCCCGCGCTTTTAGTCTTGCGCCGTGGCCGGTACTTGTAATCGGGGTAGTCGCGCAGGTGTCGGGCCCGCAGCCGCTTGGCCTCCTCCACGAATGGCCGCTTCTCGTCCTCGCCCAGCAGCTTCCACTGCGCGCCCAGGCGCTTGGAGATCTCCGAGTTGTGCATCTTTGGGTTTTGCTGCGCCATCTGGCGGCGCTGAGCGGAGCTCCACACCATGAACGCGTTCATGGGTCGCTTCACCTTCTCCAGGGGAAGGCCCCCGGAGACCACGGGGCTCTCGGCGTCCTCCCGCTCCTGGGAGCCCGAGGGTGAGGAGACAGGGGCCGTGGGAGTAGGAGGTTCCAGGCTCCAAGCCTGGTCTTGTGAGAGGCCGGGTAGAGCCATGGGGATGGAGGGAAGCCTTGAAGAGGGCGCCTACACGCCCTCTCCTCTAAAGCGAAACGTTGATCTCCAAACCCGGTATCCTTAAAATGGAAGTGTCTTCCTAGTATGGAGTCGTTCTAGAGAATCTCGTGTCCTTAGAAAGTATATATCTCGTCCCCGAGTTCAGAGTCCTTATTTTGGAGCCCCGCTCGCTACCGGATCAATCCTGCACCCGAAGGAGAGTGGAGTGCAAAATCTGTGCAGGGCAGGCTGCTTTCTCCTTTCCTGGCTGCGGTGCAGCGTCAGACCCCGTCCCGCTCCTACCTGTGGCTGGTCGGTCTTTGGTGGAGGCCGTAAACTTCCTGCTCAGACCCTAGTATTGGAGCAGCCGGCGGGGCAGCGCAGCCCGGGTACCACAGCACTCGCACCTGGCCTTCGCGGGTGAGTCAGGCCCCGGAACAGCTTTTAACGACTGACTCCTCCCCACTCCCTCCCAGCAGGCCGCGCCTCCTTAAGAGCGCCAGCATCACCTAGGCTAGGGCCTGGTAGGCAGACCCAGGGATCCTGCTCTTCCCAGCCCCCAACACCCCCTCAGGGCACCACGCCCCCTCCCCACCCAAGACCCAGATGTCAAGCCTTCCAGCCCCTGTAGCTCTGCGAGTCTTCCCCTCCCTCCTTAAGCTTTGGCAATTTAAAGTCAATTCCTTTGCACAATGGAAGCAAACACCCGAATCAAAAGCCCTCAGGGTCAATTGTGCTAGGACAAACTGGAATACCCCACACCCACCCCAAACCCTTTTCTTGTGCCCAGTGCCCCTCAAAACCCAATCTGCCCCTGGGGCAAGAAGTCAGGGCAGTTACAGGGAGGCAGGCCATTCTTGTTGCCTGAGTCATCCCAGCAGGTGCTTGGGTGGTGATTCAACACCACTCCAGGTGAGAAAACTTAAACTCTCCCAACTCCAGCCCCCAAACAAAGGTTTCTCCACACACATTTTATCTTCAAACTTTAGTCAGAGTCTGAAGGCAGGGAGCCAGGAACCCCAGGACAACTCCCCTGGGGTTGAGAGATCAGTGACATGGATGCTGGAAGAAAAAAAAGATCTGATTCCAGGGCAGGAAATGAGGGCTGGACATCAAGGTCCCACTCTGCCCAAGACCCAGCCCAAGCCCCAGGCCTCAGGTAATCCGATTAAGCAGCCAGTCTTGGCTCTTGGCTCTTGGCAGGAACAGTTCCAGCTTGGGCAGCCCTACCTAGCCAGCTGTGACTCAGGTACAGGAGTGGCCCAGCTCCCTCCAGCAGCAAACTTGGGGGGAGGAGAGAAGCAGCAAGACAAAAGCCACTCTCCTCGACCAGGAGGGTACCTGGGCCAGGGAACTTAAGACTGTCCAGAATTCCCAAAGTAGACCATCTTTGGAACACTAGAGCCAGATGCTGAGAAACAGAAGGCAAGGTCCAGCAACCAGGACAGATCAGTCAGGAAAACAACTGGACCAAACTGGGCACAAGGAAGACACAAGAACCAGAGAGCCGTTTGGATTTTTTAATTCTCTTTTTAAATACTGTACAGTGAAAAATAAATACGCCTTCTCATCCACCAGATAAGGTTGGTCCCCCTTCCCCTGGGGGACCTTGTCACCCCCTTCATACACACCCCTGGTTCTACTCCAAAACCTTCCCCATGCCTCCCACCCACTTAAACCCTTACTATCCCCGTCTTCCACAGTGATGAGGCCCCAGAAATCGGGGGTACAGGATGGTAGGAGGGATAGCAGGGGAACCCCCCTGAACTGTCAAATCTGGGTGGGTCAAGAAGCACCCCGCACCAAAGGCGGAGAATGGGGGTGTTCAGAGAGAGATTGGGGCTTTAGAGGATAAAGGCACATCCAGTCTGATGGGGAAGGAAAGGCTCCCCTCACCCTGGGGTAGGGTGGACAAGAGGGAGGTGGGTATGACCCTGTTACACACCCTCCACTAGCTCCTGGAGGTTGGGGGGGGGACCCAAGCTTCTGTGCCACCCCCCTCCCCCCTAGATAAGAGCAGCTCCAGCGTAGGTCAGTCGGGCCTGTGAGGGCCATGGTGTTGGGCAGCAAGCGAGATGGAGAAGGGAGGGATGCAGGCTGGAGGTTTTATGAAACCCCATTCACCAAACTACCCAACTCCAGGGGAACGGAGAGCTCCCCATTCTCTGAGGGGCCCTTAGGAAGCTTGCTGACAGAGTCACCCTGAGGGGAAAGTGGGAAAGAAAATGGAGAGGAAAAAGTGGTCAGTAGAAATTCAGGGAATGACATTCCCTACCATCCTAGCACTCCTGGCATCTGGTGACCCAGGGATTGGTCCTTGAACTAAGTCACTCTCAGTGGGACCCATAAAATATGAACCAATCTTTCCTGGAAACTTATTTCAAATTTTCCACTATTCTAAATATAGTCTAAACTCCATCAGACATAGTCTTCTCTGCCATTTAGCAAGAGATTTCTTTGTGAAATTTCTTGTGTCCCTTGCCCCTAAAGAACAAAAAAGGGGGGAGGAGTAAATTACATCTTGCTTGCCTACCTTCTTCTGTCCTGAAAGAGAGTCCTCTAAGGGTTTAGTGCGCTCCAGGGTTGGCCGCTGGCGGCTCTGAGACTCTGCTCGGGAGATATAGTCAGCCACAGTCACTGGGGAAGGCAGAGGACCAAGAGTTTCAGAAGGAACCCAGGTATCCAGCCCCTAGATACCCAATGAACCCCAATCCCTGGTTATCATAGGGTAGGAGGCATCCCATTCTCTCAGCTCTAAGAAAAGATGCTGGGACCCAGTGTTAGCTGACCTGGTTGGCGGTCTCCACTGACAGAACCATCAGTACGGTTACCGCGGTTACGGCGGCGGCGGCTCCTATTTCGACGCTGAGGTCTGGACTCATCTTCTGTGGGGCAGGGGAAAATTCAAACTATGCATCCAAACTCCCATCCCTCAGTTCTTGCCCAGCTCTAATTTTTAAACACCCCTTACCCAAGCCATTTTCTGTCGTGCTAAGCCCATCAGATTCCAGGCCTCCATCCATGATAGTCCTGTCTTCATCAGTGCGCCGGCGGCGGGAGCGGCGCCGCCTGGCACTTGCTGGGGGGGGTTCCCCAGGCTCTGAATCAATTGGAGGCTCTGGTTCAGATGTGTCCAGTAGGCTGTAGGGATTACTGTCTGGATCCTTCAGCACTGGTTAGAGAAGGAACAATTGGGAGTCAGGTGCCCACCAACTTTCCCTTTGTCCCACATTCACAAACCCAGCTGTCTGGTACTAGTACCTGAGCTAATAGATGAAGAGTTGTATCTCGAAGTAGGCCGGGGAGCAGGTGGAGGTCCCCTACCCCGGCCCCCAAGTGGCCGCCTCCGGCTTTCTTCCCCCCGGGTTGGGGGATCTCGATCTCCTGTCC